TTATAAAAGTTAAAAATTAAATGAAGCTGTGTCAAAATCAACATTTAAAAAAACCTCAATCACCAACCCTGTTTGATTGACATTGGTCTATAGATATGAATCACTTTGCTTTGTAAAGGAGGAAAAATATATTTGTGAAGTTCTGTTTGTTTGCTTTTAACAATTTTAAATATATTCAAATAATTATGTTTAGGTATCGCCTAAAATTATTTATTTATGGCATTTCCGCCACAATGAAACCATTACACTTTACTATTTTCAGTATATTAATTTTGAACATTTTTTAATATATTTTAAATTCCTACTTATTACCTCATGCAAAATAGTATTTATGGAATTAGTTAATTACTTGAAACTATCTTTACAAAAGTCCAATTGCTAAAAATTATTGTGGACAAATATAACTAAACAAAGATTAAAATACATAATTAAGAACATACTTCAACTACTTATTTATCTGTTTAATTATAGTAGAAGTCTGCATTTCTAAATGCCTTGTCTATGTTAATAAAATTAACTGTAATAAATTCAGCAACTTCAGGCACAAAAGCATTCTTCCCACCTCTAAAGGTAAATATAAGGCTAAAGCCATTCTGGATGAAATTCTTGCATGGGTAAGTACTAATTTTTGTTTTATTTGGATAAGTACAAGGCTGATTTAAGAAATTGTTTTGGTATAAATAGAAGCGATTCTTCGAGGGTTCTGTCAGTCTTGTCTTCATTCAATTAACAATACCGTAGTCATCATGAACTCCTGCGTAAGTTATATGCAATATAACTACTTTTGTATGAAAAATTATTTAATTTTTTTATTGACGTGTTTATAATTTATTAGTAAGTACAATAAATCTACATAATATTTGTTTGTTGTATAATATAACATTATTATTATTTACACATATTTATTTTTTGCATCAATGTGAATATACAACAATGAACATTGAAAAATATAATACACTGCAGATATCAGCGTCAGCGATTACTATTTTTTGTTACTTTTATGTTAATGTTAATATTTAAGACGTATTACGGGTTGCATTGTAGGTCATCGCATGCTTCGCCTTCTTAATAACCGCAAACGCCAGTACTATAGCACCCAACACCAAAATTATCGAAGGACCTAACAGTAAAACAACCTTAACGGGCCCTGATGGAAGCGTTATAACGTCTTCAACAGCAGGTGGTCAAATTATCATAGAAGAGCGCCTTGAAGAAGCCTCTCAAGGTCGTTCTGTAGTAGCTGCTGCGCCACAAGCGACTGCAATTACTTCGGATCCTACAACACCGACAGAGGTAGCTTCAGCACCTGCTATTTTGGCCAAAACAACTACAATTGATGGTAGTCCATCAGAAACTACTCAGTTCAGTTACTTTGTTCCAATAGTTTCTGCTCATGCTCCACCTCTTGTAGCTGTGCAAGCTGCTCCAATTGTTACTCCAAATGTAGTTTCGTTGCTACCCAATGTAGTAATTCCACAAAATTTGGATGCCATAATTACCGAACCAGCTGGTACTGTTGCTACCAGCAAAGCTATTCCAGAACCAGTTGCTGTGCCTGTACCAGTTGTCTATGCCTAAGGAGTTTGTGAATCTTACTTTTAAGAATATTTATGTTAACGTCGACTGATTTGTTTAATAAGAAAGATAAATACCTAATAAATAGCGTTAAGAAGCCATTGTTTCATCTGCATTTTTTGTCTATTACCCTACGTAGGTATAAAAAAAATATTAAGTACATATTTGCTAGCTACTCAAAAATTGTTTGCAAAAAAAATTAGTAAATGATTATAGCAAAATAAAATATTATGTTTTTACTTTGGACGTTCTGATAAAAATTTATATTTAAGCCACAGTATTTCGAGCAGATAAATAATAATCCAGAACATTTAAATAGTAGTACAAAATGAAAAAGAGAGGTAAATTAGTAAGAGACGATATTTTTTTTAACAATTTATACTTGTAGAGAATTACTATACAGCTCATGCTAAAGGATAACTGTTATTTTTAATTTTGGAATAAAATTAATAAGTAATAGACTACATTTTATGGAAGAGCATCTTGCTTTATAGGCTATTGATTATAGGATTTTAATAGGACGTTCAAAATATTTTATTATATGAATCGTCCAAATGGTCATTTTAGATGAAAAAACTGTGGAGTGCTATTATTAGAGGGTGGAAATTGGAGATAGGGGTGAAAATGCACTCCTTTCAGTTTTTTAATTGTAGCTCGAAAACGAAGCAAAATTTCGCTATAGTTCATAGGAAAAATTAATTAGAGAATTGAATTTCCCATCAAAATGGCTTATTTAAAAAATTTAAAAGGAACATTTTATGCAAAAAATCGTTAATAAACAATTTGAAAAAAAGCAAAAAATTTGATTCTTTGATTTTTTGTTTACTTTTTTACCTCTAGTTTTTTTTTGAGTAAAGATAGGTGTAGGCATTGCTGCATAAAAATGTAGATAAAATTTCCTTCAAAATAAAAGGTTGTAAAGTATTTGTAGATGAAAATTGACTGATATATGGCAACTCAAACTTACAATTAGCCAATTTTTCAATTTTCGTCGCGTTTACCCCCATACGTTTTAATTATCACTTTTTGCAAAAAAGGAAGGAAATAAGATTTTCATCACATGACTTGTTCGACGGGTCATTAAAAATGAATAAACCGCAGCGTGCTATTAAATTAGAAGGCTGAAATTGAATATAGGGGTGAAAATGAACTTTTGCAGTTTTTTAAATATAGCACGAAAATAAAGCAAAATTTTGGTATAGTTGATGGGAAAAATTTTGTAGAGAATTGAATTTACCAACGAAGTGGCATATTTTAAAAATTTAAAAGAAAAATTTTATGCAAAAAAATCGTTAATAAACAATAATTTAAAAAAAAGCAAAAAATAAGATTTTTTAATTTTTTTACTTTTTTGACTAAGTTGTGAAAATATTTATTTATTATTAACAAATAAAACTTTTGAAATATTTTTTTATTAAGTAAAGAACCTATTTGTTGTAAAAATAGTAAGTTTAATCGGTTATAACTCAGTCAATATTAGTCTAAAAATTTTTGAAAACGCATCATTTTGAAGGGAATCTCATCTAGTTCTTTTGCACAGCAATTTTATTTGCCTACTTCTATTAAAAAAAAATTATAGGCAAAAAAGTAAAAAAATCAAAAATTTTTTGCTTTTTTTCAAATTGTTTATTACGATTTTTTGCATAAAATTTTCCTATTAAATTTTTTAAATAAGCCATTTCAATTCTCTAAATAATTTTTCCTATGAACTATAGCGAAATTTTGCTTCGTTTTCGAGCTACAGTTAAAAAACTGAAAGGGGTGCATTTCTACCCCTATCTCCAATTTCAACCCTCTAATTTAATAGCACTGCGCGATTTTTTCATCTAAAATTACCCTTTGAACGATTCATGCAATAAAATTGTTTGAACGTCATAGTCCCTGTTTTTTGGATATAATCAATAACCACATCAAAAGAGTGCAGTATCTGTTAAATATGTGTTAACAAACTATTGAAAATTCAGTAGATTTTAAGTAGTTTTCCCACATTTACAACTGCCAAAAATTTTTCCTTTATATATTTCTTTCGCTGCGATTCCAAAGCTAGGAATTACAATGACCATTATTGGATGATTAACTTAGATATTACTAAAAGATGATAATATGATATTTAAAAAGATTTAGTGTCAATTGTTTCGCAGTTGAGAAAGATACATTTCAAAATGTCTATGCCAGCTTACTTTATGTCACTTTTCGTTCGTTGTTCTATGTTGCCATAAAGCCAGGTGCGGTAACACAAATTTATTGTTATTTAACAAATCCTAAATAGTTCAGTTATTAATATTTAAAATAGTTTGTCGTTGTAGAAAGTACTCTTTTGTGGAAACGGTTTCGTTAATTCTAATAACTGAAACCTATAATATTTAAAAAGTATATTAGAAATTAAATTTTATAATCCCTATAAACTTAGTTGTGTCGCCAGAGTTAATAATTATTATTTTAAATCTAGCAAAAGGTTCAACATTTTATATTATATTGCGATAATTATTATTTTAAACAAAGTTAATTACATTTTTTAAAATTATTTCAAAAATGTATACAGGTTGTAACTAAATTGCCCAATCAAACATTATTGGTGGCTGGTATGTTACAAATTCAAGAGAGGTTTATTTGAAGTTGCAAAAATAGATGAAGAAAGCCATGTAAATAATAATTCATTTCATTCATGAACAACGTGTTGTTTCAAATATTATTTTATCATTATATAAAAAGTTATATAATGTGAGGGTCCATTAATAACTACCAATACAAGGTATAACATTTTTCTTGAGTACTGTGCGTCCAAGTGATATGCAGCAAGAATCCATTTTTGTAAATCTTTTATAATCTTATTTTCCTGAAGTCTAAAAAAATTTTTTTCAAGATCCTTAGCACTCTGTATCTCTGGTAATATATTGTAAACTTCTCACTCTTATTAATTAGATCCTAATCATACCTTAAACGAGAATCAATTTTTACAAAATATAAAGCATTAGTTAATTAGTTTGTCTTTTATCTAAAAATGGTCTAAGTTTTCCAAATAAATTTAACGAAGAACAAATTTTAAATATATATAGCAATAGTACCTCCACTTAAGAAATTCGTATAAGTCTAGGAAAGTAAAAAGTTTCCTGATACTTAAGATTAATATTACTCGGATTTAAATTATCACATTTCTTCTTGTGAAATTGTATAACCTGAGTTTTCTTAGGATTCTCATACAAGTGTTGTTGCAAAAAATAGTTATCTATAATGAAAGCAGAATGTTCTAACAGTTCTACGTTTATCAAATCTATTAGAAATTATATCATAGAAAATGTGGATACTGTCATTGGAGAATTTAGAAAACTTAACCTTAACTATATGAAAGCAAGTTTTAGGCAAATTAAAAAAAACATAATTGTAATAAATAATTCGTTTATTGGGGTCAGTCACACTCTAATAATCTACCATACAGGGGCGGCATAAGCAGCTACAGCTGGAGCAGCAAGCGTTTTGGCAGTTGCGACAGTTCCCGAAGGTCCTGCGATGACGGCTTGTTCACCGACTAATCCTGCAGCAACGACAGGAGCAGAATAAGCGGACACCACTGGGGCAGCTACTACTGCTGGGGCAGCATAGGCAGATACTACTGGGGCAGCAGCTAAGGCTGGGGCGGCAGCAATAACTGGAGCTGAGTAAGCCACTGCTCCTGGCAATGATTCAGTGATGACTTGGCCACCTGGAGCTACAGAGGAAATCACGCTTCCTTCGGGTCCTACGAGGGTAGTCCTGCTGCTAGGTCCTTGCAGTATTTTCGCTGCTGGTGCAATTAGTCCAGCTTGGGCGACAGCAAGAGTGGCAACAAAGGCAACGAGTACCTATAATGAAAAAAATTATTGAGGAATCACACATCTCTAAAATTATTCTCCTTCGCAAACAAAATCTGTCATAATCTATTAAAGGTGCAAAGTAATAGATGTTACAGATACTTTGCGTTACAAAATCACTACATAAAAATTGATATATCTGTTTTTAACGTTCGTAAAATCTAGGAATTGAAAAATATCTAACTTACGAAGGAATTCATGGTTAATATGTGTCTGTGCTCCAGTTTCCAATGTTAACTGATACCTCACAAGGGGGTTATTCTAAATTTATATCCTAATTTTAGGAAGTAACCTTGTTCTCAGAAAAAATATGCGTGATACAACAAAATGTAGAAAAGATACCGTCCCTGTTCGCCCTCAGTTTCAATAATGTGTCAAGTTTCTGTTCAAGAAAAGCATAAAATAAAAAAAGAGACTTAACAAAAAAAGTGCTGTATATTATTCGTTTTAGTAGTACATTGCAATAAAATTTTTTCTAATATCCATCTTAAAAAATTATTGCAATTAATAATACTAAAAATAATAATTTTTGTGAAGAACGAAACAAAATTTCAACCTTCGTATCTGGGTAATTAAATTTGTAAAATTTACCTACAAAAAACCTTTATTCACTCTGATTAGTATCTTAATTGACACTCAATTCTGTAAATTAATAAAATGATTGCTTTTAAAATGATTGAGTTCCAATCATTATAATTTTAAAGGTCTTTAAACTCTAGTGTTATAGCAGTGTTAAATTATTAAATATTACAGCAGATCATAATTTGAAGAACAGCAAATTATTCAATATACATTATTATCAAATAATGTAATAAATGACTAACAGTGAGGTAAATTCGATTGAATTTCAATATACATAGTTCTGAAACTGCTAATAGATATAAAGTAACTGATATAAGTTCTCAACCCATATTATTGTCAAATCAAATGTGCGGCAACTGCATTTGTTGTTGATTTAAGGAAGATATCGTCTTCAAGGTGCTTCATATATTATTAATATTATATTATACAGAGTGTCTTGGATACTTTTAATAATTGAAGCATTCTGTGAGTAGTGAACTGAGGAAAAGATCTTACATATCAGTAGTAGGAAGCTTTGGATGTTTGGTATTTGAAAGTATTAAATATCTATTGTTATATATTAAATTTGGTGCATATCATTCATTAACCGTTATTCAATATTTTATTACAAGAAAAATATGTCACGAGTTTTAACATTATGAAAATTGAATAATTTGTGTTCATTATTTTCAAAATTTGTTTTTTAGAAACGAAAATTTAGAATTTAGAAACGAATATTTTGTTAGTGCCTACCGAAAAATTGCATAAATATATCTATTGTCACCTAAAATTAAATATTAATACACTTCTAGAACAGTATCAGCCATTACTGTGCATGGATAGTATGAAATGTGAATGCGAATTACTATGGATGATATGGATAGTTTATAATTCACTAATATTATTACACGATTGGCTAAGTCTTAACCAAATCCCGAAAGTATTGGGACTGTATAACAAAAATTTGTATATTTAATACTAGAACTCTGTTTAACTTGAAATTAATAGACAATGACTTTATGATCATTATTGATTTGGAGTAGTCATATTGAGTCAATTTAAGGACATACTTATATAAATTCCCAACTGTATCAGTAATAAGTACATTATAATGAGCCTCTTATTTGTGTCTCAGTTTTGTATTTGGACAAACTGTGTATAGAAATATAACTGCATTGCTGATTGCCAATTAACTAACATTCCTTGAAATGAAATTAAAAAATATAGAATAAATACTGAATAATATTTAAATTTGTTTTTATATATCATACGCACTTATGTATAATGTGGAGTTGGTAGCTTTCCACATAATGAATAGGTATACGTTTTCACTAAAATGTTGACATTGAGTCTGCTTAAATATATTGTTTTATTAGATTATCCGTCATATACGAATATATTTTTTTAGGAAACATGTATATGAAACTAAAAGAAATAAATACATTTTATAATTAATTTTCTAACAATAAACGAATATAATACTAATTAAAAATGGGTTTTAATAAATAAATATTTAGTTGTACTTAACAAATGCCTATTTTAATTCATTTTAGCTACTTAAGTTAATATCAGAACAACACATTGACTATTTTCATTCAAATAAACGACTTATTAACTACAAATTACATTTTTTTGATTCGAAAAATATTAAGAAATTACTTATTTGGTTCTAATACATTTTATATCTCCCAATTAAATCATTTCTTCAGTGTCGGACTTGAGTAATCATGAATAATGTAGCTTGACGAGGGATATACTTTTCCTTTGTCAAGTATTCTGTAGAAACTCACTTTTCATAAATACATATTTTACATAGGTGGGTATCAAGTGTCCAAAATTCACCCGAGATTTGAATATTGCGCCATTTGTACGGTAAAGCGTTGCCAACGAAAAGAGAAACAGCGTGACAGCTGACAGTTCAGAGTTATTGAAAATGGAGCGGTACACGAAACAACAACGCGTTTTCATTTTTGAGTAAAATTTAAAAAATAATGAATGTTTGACATTTATAGTTTGAAATAGTGGGGGGCATTTACCCGGTACTGTATATTTATGAACCAATAAAAAATTTGCAATTTCTGTTTAAAAACATGTTTTCTATCAAAATTACGTATTACGTGAATTTCTAAATAAAGAAAAATGTTAATAATAGGTTTTGGTTGTTTTCAGAACTAAATAAAAGAAACAGATGATACAAAGATATGAAAAATGGGGAGTATATTTACATCGTTTCGTTATTCATTATGTCTAAATTTATCTAAAAGGGGGTGCAACATTTTAGAGAAGACGAATGAAAACATTTTATAATTAAGTATAAAATATTTTTTATAAAACTGATCCTCTAGATAATCCTTTTCAACCACTTCCGACACACCTTGTATAGCGTACATAAGTAAAATAATGCATTTAACACAAATTATGATTATCTACACAAAAATACGTAGCACTGTTATAATTTTGATTGAATCCTTCTAATTTGTGCCAAAACGTGCTCCATCTGAAGCGAAAATTATTTTTTTTGTGTAAAATGACTGCTTCCTACATTTATCTCCATCAATTTTATTATATATTTCATTTGTCTCCTTCAAGCAAGTTGACACCTGAAAAAAAGGTACACTGTCGCCAGGACGAGAAACCCACGTTAGGCGTGGTCTCTGACGCGAAGTTCAGGGTCAAGAACAACAGCGAAATTTCCTGCTTGATTCTTAAGGTCGTAAACTTGGGTATCAGCTCGCTAATCTGGGTGCCTAAAAATATATCTTGTCGTACGTGACCGTCGATGTGAATTTATTCAGTTATTTGAATACATTTGAATCCATTGATACAGTTCTGGGCGGGTGACCGCACACTATTAAAGTTACCGTCGTTTCCTTGTGTTATCTTTATATAAATGTAGGTATTTAGTAAAACCTGTTTTTAAAATGCAGTGTTAAGCTTAATTGAAAATTTGGTGCTTTATCTTGGTGGTGACCTTTCTTAATACGCTTACAAAATTGTTTCAGCATCGTTATATTTTCGAAAACTGAGGGTCATTTGGTACCCGTTTTGCTTTTAAACTGTTTAATTAATTGGAAACATAATTCATACATTTCAATTAAGAGGGGCGGTATCATTTAATAAAAAATAATAATTTTTGAATTTCTAGCTTCGTAAGTGGCACCTTTAACGTCTGCCAATGCCATGAGAGTGTCACTAAAGTGTCATAGGTAAAAACAATAAGTAAAAGTAATTAAATGTATTAATTCGAAATCCTAGAACAACAGTTTAGCCACTTTTGTGGAAACTAGAAGAAGTGGAAAATAGAACAGAATTTCCTCAAAGGAAAGTTAAAAATAATAAGGAAGTTAAGGAATAATCAAAATATTTTCCATCTAACAAGACCTGCGAAGAATGCTGCATTTACATATTATACAGGGATGGCCAGAAGTACGGAATAAAATTCATATCTTTTGAATGAGTAATTTTTTTTTTTAAACGCCGAAACACGTCAACTGATTTTGATTTTTTCCCATATTTCGGTTATATAATAATTAATTTTTCTTCAACCCCCTAACCCCCAGCTACCCCTACTTTTTTTTCAAATGGAAACATAAGGCATGAGGGGGCTCGTTGAAAAGCTTATAGAAAACCGAATCCAGCCATACCAAATAAACAAGTTTTATTTTTTCAATAGCAAGGTTTTTAGGGTTGTATAAAACACCTACTTAACAAGTGAAATAAAATTTAATTATCTTCAGTGTTATCCTCCATGAATTTGCACAGAATAAAATAAAGAATTTGAAACTGTACCTATCACTGCTAACGCAAAAAAGATATATTTTTTATGTTGCGTTTTTTTGGCACCACTTACTTGCCAGGCTTTCTGGTTAATTTTTCGCTTTAGTTGTAAATTGGAGTTCGAAACGTTACTATTGTGTCAAAATCAAGTTATTTACTGAATTGCAATGGTATTGTCGGAAAGGCAACGCATCGAAATCTTGATATTGCTTGGATGTGGAGACAAAATAAGAAGTCAGGCTGAAGTGCGCGATTTATTTAATGCGAAATATCCCGAAAACCAAATCTCGCAAGGGACAGTTAGTAAAATATTTCACAAATTTGAGGAACACGGTACAGTACAGACTTTGCCCAAAACTGGACGGGCACGTGCTTTGAATGAAGAAAAGAAATTAGACATTGCATTAGAACTTGTTGAAAATCCTCATACTTCAACTGTTTCATTGGCCCGCAATCACGATGCTTCTCGAACTGCAATTCGAATGTTTCTGAAACAAGAGAAATACCACCCCTATAAGGTATGTCTTGTCCAAGAGCTTTTGGAAGACGATTATGATAGGCGATTACAATTTTGTGAGGAAATGATGAGACGGTGTGACGACAATAATGGTTTTCAACGAGACGTACTTTTTTCGGATGAAGCTACGTTTTATTTAAATGGAGTGGTTAACAGGCACAACTATCGCTTTTGGTCCCAGGAAAATCCACACTGGACATGCGAATCGCATACGCAGCATCCACAAAAAGTTAATGTATGGGCAGGTATCATCAACAACAGAATCTTGGGCCCATTCTTTTTTGAAGAAAATCTTACTGCCGCACGCTACCTGGATTTCCTAACATTTGACCTGATACCTGCTCTAGCTGTGATTTTCCCTCATGAAATTGATCCAGATATACCGAATGAAAGAATTTGGTTCCAACAAGATGGCGCTCCCCCACATTTTGGTATTGATGTTCGAAGATACTTAGATGAAATGTTTCCAAATCGCTGGATTGGTAGACGGGGTACAGTTGAATGGCCGCCAAGATCCCCCGACTTAACACCCCTGGATTATTTTCTTTGGGGATATTTGAAAGAAAGAGTCTACCAGGACAGACCGGATAATATTGAGAATTTAAAGAACAAGATTAGGGCGGAGATGCATAATTTACCAGCTGAAGTCATTCAGAATGCTGTGGACAGCTTTTACTATCGTCTTGGAGAATGCCAAATAGTAAATGGAGGACTTTCTCAGTATTTGCGACATTGAGTTTATTTTTGTAAATTATCTAGTTGTTTCAATTTCTAAATGAAAAAAATCGTGTTATTGAAAAAATAAAAATTGTTTATTTGGTATGGCTGGATTCGGTTTTCTATAAGCTTTTCAACGAGCCCCCTCATGCCTTATGTTTCCATTTGAAAAAAAAAGTAGGGGTAGCTGGGGGTTAGGGGGTTGAAGAAAAATTAATTATTATATAACCGAAAGATGGGAAAAAATCAAAATCAGTTAACATGTTTCGGCGTTTTAAAAAAAATTTACTCATTCAAATGATATGAATTTTATTCCGTACTTTTGGCCATCTCTGTATATCACGCATAATTTTATTTGTATTTATTTTATTGTACAAGATTTCCAGCCTCTGTGCGTTTTTAAATATAGTATGTCAATCAATAACTTAATATCAACAAACATTGTTGCAGCTTCTCTGAATGATTTCCGTCAGGGTAGAAAAAAGCACCTACTATGGTACCTTATCTTACAACTTGATTTGCACATTTTCCATCATTTTTGGACATTATCAATAACTTCAGGAGTTATAAGTTAAGTTATTGATAATGTCCAAAAAGAATTTATTAATCGTCTTGGCTACTGTCAGGCAGCACAATTTGAACATTTAATTTAGTCGATTTTTACATAATCATTATCATTTTCAGTATTATGAAAATTTAATTTTAAAATCTTCAAACATTATTTTCTTGAAATTTTTGTTATGTAACACCATAATTTTTCATGATGTGTATATAGAATGACACGCTCTTGCAAATGGCATGGTCAAAATTTAAAAAAATTGTCTATGACGTCATATCTCGAACAACGATGACGTCACAAATATGGGTCGTATGTCAAAAAGTGCCTTTTTTAAAAACAAAATCGACGCGCCAGGGGATTTTTCTAAAACTTCTCAATTTAAAAAATAATGAATTTATTCGTTACTTTTCGAAAGCACTGTACAGGAATTTTGGAGGCAGATAGATCTCTTTAAAATAATAGGTGTTTGCTTTATGAACATAGGTCTAGAACGACCTCGTTTTGGAGAAACAGAGTGAAAAAGTCTTTAAAAAAATTGATTTCTTGTTTAAATCTCCGGAATCTATTAACCGATCTCAATAAAATTTGGTACAGATAATGTATGATAGTAGGCCTTGAATTCCCTAAAAGATGACAATTTGTATGCACACCAACAAAATTTGTTACACTCATTTCCACACCATATGTGAGGTAGAGTTCCTGGCGCGTTTTCGTTTCCCTTGGAGGACTAATCCACTATCTTTACGAATAGGAACAATTTAAATCAAATTAATAATAAATGTACATTTACCAAACAACGACAACTAAACAGGAAACAAAATTAACGTTAAGTATTTGCAACAGTTGTTGAAAATGCGAACCAACTACATCTATATTTCCGATATCTTCTATTAATCGAACTAATTGAAGCTAATATAGAATCTGGTGATTTTCTTTCAATTCGTTATACCCGCCTTCTATTCGCTGCAGTAGTTGTCGTCTTGTATCAATTGGAGTAGAGTAAACTTTACGTTTCAGATAATCGCAAACATAGAAGTCCAGAGGGCTTAGATCTGGCGATCTGGCTGGCCAAGACACTGGACCCTCTGCTCAAGTATGGTGGACATTGGTATTTGGTCTTCTACCTATCCATCGCCCCATGAGATTGTTTTATTCTCTCAGAATGCGAGGAGCACCATCGATTTGTACCTAGCTATTTTGTCGTATATTTAGTGCAACATCCTCTAAAAATTCAAATAGACGGTTTTCTACAAAGTTTAGACCGGTAATTTTGAACAATTATTGTAAATATAAGGTTAATTTTGCTTCTTGTTTTGTTGTTCTTGTTTGGTAAATGTACATTTATTGTTGTTTTTATTTAAATTGTTCATATTTGTAAAGATCACTATGTTCGGCCTCCAGACGAAACAAAAAAGCGCCAGAAACTCTACCACACAGGTGGTGTGGAAATGAATATAATGAGTTTTGTTGATGCGATTACAAATTACACTTACTCTCAAGCATAAACATAAATATTCCTTCTATATTATGGTTGAAAGTGTCTGCGACAAAGAAATTGTAATGGTAGGTATGAATCACTTGAGAACGGTGAATCTTAGAGAAAAAAATCAAAATACCTTTTTTACGTATTTTGTGCATATAAATGTGTAAACCTTGTAAAATGCATTGGGGTAGATTTTTTCTAAAAAATGAAGTGACCTCTGTCCAATTGTGCACCACTGGTTGAACCTTTGGAGCTCATGTTTTAAGGAATGCTAGGCCTACTAACATACGATATCTGTACCAAATTTTATTGAGATCAGTTAACAGATTCTGGATTTTTTTACAACTTCAACACCCTGTACCTCCAAAACGAGGCTGTTCTAGGCCTCTGTTTATATAGTAAACAAATTTTAAAGAGATCTATCTGACCTCGAAGTCTCCTGTATAAAATCTATCTAAAGCTGATATTTTGATAGGGCTAATCAAATTTTATTTATAACTAAATGATATTTCTCACAGTGCAATATCGTAATAAGACATAACATAGTTGCCAGTATAAATGTACTGAAAATTCCTCCTTTAAAAACGTCATCACCGTGATTAACAAAAATACAATACAACCTAGTCATCCTATTTATTAAGTGATTAATATGTACCTATTTTATATTTAAGTATACAAAATTTAATTTAGGAAAATGACCCAATTAAGACATCAATATTATTAAAATTTTAAGGTGCATCTTCTGTTTCATAAATTAATTCCGAATGTCAAGGTGCTGCAAACACTTTGCGTATTTCAGACTCAATGCAATATTCAATATTTCCAAGATTGCTTTAAGTTTTTAATAAAATTTCATCCTCTTCCTCACTTAGTTATATGAAACAACAGATGAAATTATCAGGATAATCGGCATCGATACCAGATTTACTTGAAGGTACCTTGGTAAAATATAAATTACAGTATTTTCTGGTTAATAAAATAAGTTGAACATAACTAACGAATTAACACCTCTGCTAAATTGCAGGCATATTTTACATTTTTTATACTTTATCAACATACAAGGTTACTTGCTGAAATTCTGTGATATAAATTGGATGCAAGTTCATCGAACAGTATCAGTTGACTTTGGACGCTGGAATACAGAACTTAATCACAATGAACTCCTTCGTAAGTATACAAATATCTATTACATAGGTAATTCAATTCAGTTCAATAATTGGTTACTTACCATTATTTCATTTATTATGTAGTTTAACAAATGTTTAGCATTCAGTTATTTTGACACAAAAACATTTAAGTTAAGAAAATTATCCCTGTTGCATACAGAAATTGTTAATATAATTGTTTATATTTAACGCAGGCTGTTGTTGCCTTCCTTGCTACCCTTGCTGCCGCCCATGCTGGACTAATTGCACCAGCAGCGCAAATCCTTCAAGGACCCAGCAGCAGGACTACCCTCGTAGGACCCGAAGGAAGCGTGATTTCCTCTGTAGCTCCAGGTGGCCAAGTCATCACTGGATCATTGCCAGGAGCAGTGGCTTACTCAGCTCCAGTTGTAGCTGCCGCACCAGTAGTATCCACCTATGCCGCCCCTGCAGTATTAGCGTCTCCAGTTGTGTCTGCTTACTCCGCTCCTGTGGTAGCTGGTGGATTAGTTGGCGAACAAACTGTCATCGCAGGACCTTCTGGAACTATCGCTACTGGCAAAACCTTAGCAGCTCCTGCTGTAGCTGCTTATGCTGCTCCTTTGTGGTAGAGTCGTTGTTTTTGTAAAATAAAATTGTTATAAATTTCTTTCGTTTTTATTATTTCCTTGGAAAAGATCTCTACAAAGATAAACTTTATACACATTATGAAAAATTTTAAATTATTCTAGAAATACAATTTTGCAATTAATTAGAATTTATAGAAACATTTGCTTGGTAACTTTACAACTACCCAAGTTAAGACCTTGAAAATACCTTCATTTTTTCTTACTAAAATAATGTAAATACTTTTAAATATTTACAAGTAGGTACTTAATAAATATAATATTCTGTTAAATTTTGAAAAAAAATGATATCATTTGCAAAATTGTTTAAATAGAAACATGTTTCCAGCAAGAATTACTCAAAAATAGATTTTATAAAATGTGTAGTTTTGTCAGTAAAAATTGAACTCACACTTTTTACTAATATGTTTGTTGTTAATTTTAATTTTATGTTCTGTTAAATACATATATTCAAGATCAGTAATTAATTCTGTAGATAAGAATTTTTAAAATTTATTAAAATAAAACAACTGATTAAAGCATATTTCTTAACCTGTGTGTAATATGATCTAGTATATACTTAAAAGAGATTTTAATCTTGAGATACCTATAGTCTTACATTGTTTTTTACAATCGTAATCCTGTACTGGTGTATATTTTATGCAGAACCACAAAGACGGTAATTAACAATTGTATTAATTTATATTATTTCAGTGAATAGTTTATATTTACTGGGTTTTTGTAAGCCTTTCTTCAATGATTACAGCCTGAGAGGGTATCTTAACTTAAAGAAATAAAAAAATTAAAATTTATTTTAAGTTTAGGCTTGTTGTAAAGTAACATTATAAAAATTAAATCAAAATAAACAATTTATGGTAATTAATTATCTAATTTTAGAGTTTGTAAACTAGGTACCACTACAAAAATAAACAATTGTTGATGGACATGAATAAAAAAAGTGATAAAACAGAAAAATATTAGGAAACAGACTCGGAGACAAACAGAAAAAAATTGCTGCACAATTAAATAAATGAGCAAAACTCGAAATACTACAATAGGTGCTGAAATTGTCCCCCATTTGCTTCTATGCAACCTCATTTTTCTCGAAAATGGTACATGGTACCGAATTTCGAAAGGTATACCTTTCTTGTAGTATGCTTTAGAATTTACACAACTGTTTAGAAATGTAACAAGTTTTGACATTTAACATTTTTTTTTTCAATTGCGCCCATCCAATTACCTGTATCGGCGACACTTATTTTCAGAAACAAACTGTTTGCACATTATTCTTAACGTCCAGTTGATGTTTACTCGTGTACAAATTTTGTCATTTTTATCTTTAGCCGATTTCAAGATAATTAAGAACGACCATTTGGAAAGTAACAACTGAAACACACTGTATCTCGGAAACAGGGCGTCTAAGAAAAAAACTTTACATGAACTACCCCTATTATTTTCCCATGAGGAGCTTGCACACATGTTTTTTTAAAATATGAACGGGAACGCTGTATAATAATTTGTATTTATGTCGTTTTATTACAGTTTTTTTAATTTAACAATAATGACATGAATAATTTGATGTGCAGAATAGAATATCCATTACTAATACGATATGAGATTGATATGAGACTTTTTAAAGTCTTAATTTACAAAAAAATGCTGATGTAAACATATAACCCATTTATAATTTTGAATCAAAAAAGGACAAATTTGAAAAATAAAAATACATCTCATTGTATTAAAAAAAACTGTTTTTTCTTTCTTCATAGTAACAAATTTCGTAGTCTTCAAAGAAGCATTAACTCCTATAACAAACTTTTTTTTTACTAAAGCGTAAAATGAAAAAATGCTGGGATGATTTACAGTGGAAAACTTTGAACAAATATTTTTATGTCAGTTACATCTACACTTTTAAGCCGTTTGTATATCATGGTTTGGCTTATTAAAGCGCTTGAATATACCTATATTTCAATTCTATCACATTCCTTCCGAAAACTATTAAGTATTTAGTGTATGCTTAATGTATATGGAAACTTACATAACTGCATTTACGGGAAAAAGATTTTAATGAGTGCCAAGATAAAAAATTTTAAGTTTAGTTCCGTATGTACAATTTTTTAATTTTTGAAGTGAGCATACTTTTTGTCATGTCTTAATACTTAGTGTTCATCAAAGGACAAAATAATTTAAAAAAGTAGTAATCTATTTTTTTAAGTGTTCATCTATAAATCAATATTCAAATTAAATAAATTTTTGTTATTCTTCTTATTATTAAATTCATTGATATGGTAATTTTACTGCAAACACTTTGTATGCATTGGGTGTTTCGCTAATCAACTTTTTTTTCTTCATAGGTTTTGCTAGAAAATTTACGTTAAAATTGTTTTAGAAGAGTTCAAGTTATAGTCAGTTGATACTAAACCTTATTTGAAGGAAGTAAAACTGCGAGATACCTGTTTTTTAATCGAATGAATTGATGAAAATTACGAATTACTACTTCTTCTGAATTGCAGATATATTTTGCACTTTTTTATATTACGCATATACTTTATCAGTATACAAGGTTACTTCCTAAAATTTTGTGGTATAAATTCGGTGTAGGTTCATCGAACAGTATCAGTTGACATTGGAAACTGGAACACAGAGCTTAATCACAATGAATTCCTTCGTAAGTATATAATAAGCATTCAACAATTTTATGTTGGCATTATTTAGTATATAACAGTTATTTTAGCAATATTTCACTTTATATCTCTTTGGAAAGTACCTACTTAGTATACATTTTTCTTACCTATATAAAAATTACCCATTTTATTTGTTATTATTAACTTGTTTGAACATAGGCTATTGTTGCCTTCCTTGCTACCCTTGCTGCCGCCCATGCTGGACTAATTGCACCAGCAGCGCAGATCCTTCAAGGACCCAGCAGCAGGACTACCCTCGTAGGACCCGAAGGAAGCGTGATTTCCTCTGTAGCTCCAGGTGGCCAAGTCATCACTGGATCATTGCCAGGAGCAGTGGCTTACTCAGCTCCAGTTGTAGCTGCCGCCCCCGTAGTATCCACCTATGCCGCCCCTGCAGTAGTAGCTTCTCCAGTTGTATCTGCTTATTCTGCTCCAGTGGTAGCTGGTGGATTAGTCGGTGAACAAACCGTCGTTGCAGGACCTTCTGGAACTATCGCTACTGGCAAAACCTTAGCAGCTCCAGCTGTAGCTGCTTATGCTGCTCCTTTATGGTAGATATTTGTTTTAATAAAATAAAATATTTATTATAAATTTCTTTTTTTCATTCTTACTTTGTTATATATAAAAGAAACCCTGATAGAAAAGTTATAGTTAGTTGTACTTATAATTATTGCAAATCATCACTTTTAATATTACTAGTAGAAAAATTAGAACTATATATGTCGATTCTCGTCTAAGACACATGTGGCACATTTATTACAGAAGTGTTATTATAAACTCAAAATGCTCTACATGCATAAATTATCAATCAAATTAAACTTAAACTGACTGACACATTAATTCTCTCAACTCTAGCATACTGCGATATTCTGTACTGGCCAGCACTTACTGTTAAAGATAAAAACAGCCTCCAGAAATTACAAAATGCTTGTCTAAAATTCTGTTATGGTGTTCATGTATGATCATGTTACACCACTTTTTGATTCTTCTACTTGGTTAAAATTGGAGGAGAGATTTATTCTACATTTGGCTACAGTAATATACAAGGTTATCACTTAGGAACAACCTTAGTATTTGCGTGATAAAAAACTAATTCGTGGTGCAAGCATGCATCATAGAAATACTCGTCACTGCAATAAATTTGTCATGCCACGACACTGTTCTGCAATATTTCAACGCTCTTTGAAGTTACAATGCTGTAAAACTTTACAATTTTTACCTGTAAATGTTACCTCTTGCTCTACTGTGACTAGTTTTAAAACAGCAGTTAAGAAACACATTGTTATCCTTAAAACATAGTAGTGTTTATTTACTCTGTGTATATATATATTTATGTATTTTTTTTTGTAAAACGGGCGGTTAGAATGAGTAGCTCTGCTAGATCTCGCCGCCATTTATATGATTATGTTCAATAATTTGTTTTTCATATGAAAATAAAGGCATATTATTATTATTATTATTATTATTATTATATGCCACGCATTATTCTTCAGCTTAATAGATCTAATTAAATCACCATCAAACCATGGCGGATAGCATTTATTAGAAAATATCTTACGTGGAACATGTTTAATGAAAATTGAATTTAATATTTCATAAAACTTAAAAACAAGTTGATTGACACACGTAAAACTTTTTAAAGGAGACCAGTCAACNATTATTATTATTTTATGGAAAAATTGAGTTTATTTGCAAAACAGCTTAACGAAAAACTTGCAGGAATAATCCAATAGAAAAAAAAAATAGTTAAAAAATGCCTGCATAAAATTAAAAACATGGCAACTTTCTATAAAGGAATGTATAGTTTTATCAGTAAATATAGAACCTATGGTTTTCACTAATAGGTATGTTATTAATTTTGATTTAATGCTCTCTTATGTATTAAAGGATTTCCCACCGAAAATGGTCTATCAGTAACTTTTTTATATGACTTTAGGAAAATTTCAAAAATTCATTAAAAGGAACAGCTGAAAAACGCTTATGTTTCTGCGATGCCCACAAGGCAAAATTAAATATGAATGGAGGTACTACACAAAAATATTCCTTGAGTATCTTTAGAAAAACTTTTTATACGGACTTGGATCCTGCCCTCCCACTAGTATTATATTTAAATTAAAATATGATAAAGGGAAATTGATAAATCTTAAATTCAAATACATTAAAAAACTAATCTCTATCTACCGAGTGTTCCACTTAAGACTGCAACAATTTTATTTTATTTTCTTTTTACTTTCCTACATTTTATTTATTTTTTTGTCAAAAGATGAAACAAATGAGGTTACATTCGTGAGGAGTGATTCACTTACCACACCCTCAAATACATTGCTGACTGAACAGCAAAATATGAATTTTTTACAGTCCTAAATGGAAAACTCCCCAAATAACACTCTGATGTAAATAAAACAAATTGAGCATCATAGAGTTGTGAATATTTTATCGAAATCTAAATATCCGCCAGGAAAGTATATTTTATATGTCAATCCTCCATACAGGCATATTTTTTTTTGACAAATCAAATATATAATTATAAAAAACATTTGAACATTTTGAATACCTTTATGTGATAAGATCTATTACATACTTACAATACACTTTAGCCCTAATATACAGGGTGGCCAAATGAAAACGAAACAGAGCCATTTTCAGGAACTGCGTCAAGATTGTAGAAAAACGCTCAGACCCGTCGATTTTAGATTAAAGGGGGACTTTCTTTGCTGGTATTTTGATTCCGCCACTTTCAGCCCCAAGCAAGGGTAAGCGTCACCCCAAATATTTAAATGTCATTGGGGGTTTAGTAATATTTCTTTTGAAAGCTCTTACAATTCTCTTTACAACACACAACTTTACAAATTTTAAAATTCCGCCCAATATTTATTAAGAATGTTGATTTTAAAGTTGAAACTTATGTACAAACAATTAGTAACGGTAAAAATGTCAGTTATTCGAGTTAAGTACGCTAATGGTATAAATTTAGTATTTCTTGCGTTACATTGATTTTTGGCTATTTGTTCACTCTCGTAAAAAAACACAATTGTAAAAAACAGAAATGAATGCTATACACACACAATGAACGTAAAATTAGTGGATTCCAAATTATTTTCTAGTATTATTTGGAAGCGTTGGTTGGTAGTTTATTTAATTGTGTTTTTGAAAATTAAACACTATGGTTTATTCCATTGCGGAAAGGGCATATATCATTTCGCTTTACTTTATGAACAGTAAATGTGAGAATAGAACAGCTCAGCTATTTAATGAACAACATCGACATGTCAGGAAGAAGTATGTTCTAGAATTAGTAAAAAAAATTCAAGAGACAGGGAACGTAGCCAATAAAAACTAGAAATTGAAGAACCTATAGTTAATGAAGCTAGTGAAGTTTTGTTTTGGGACATTGGGTTCATCTTGATCCTACATTAAGTATGAGGCAGCTGGCATCTGTGTCTGGGATTAATCGAACTAGCATACAAACCATTTTGAAGAAGAATAAATTCCATCCATACAAAATACATTTAGTCCAGGAACTTCATGAGGATGATTATGACCGCCGTTTGCAATTTTGCGAAATAATGAGTGAGCGAGCAGGGAACGATCCACAGTTCCTTTTTAACATCTGTTTTTCTGATGAATGCAGTTTTTTCTTGAACGGGACGGTAAATCGTCACAATTGCCGCTATTGGTCCGATTCAAACCCAAGAGTTTTTCACGAGGTGCATACACAGCAACCGGAAAAATTAAATGTATGGGCTGGAATTTTCGGTGACCGGCTGGTGGGTCCTTTTTTTCTACCTGGTAATTTGACTGGCCAAATGTATTTGCAATTACTGGAAGACGCTATTGACCCTGCCTTGACTGATATTATTGAAAATGTTCCAGAGTATGATGAAGATCATTTGATTTTTCAACAGGACGGTGCTCCTCCGCATTATGCGTTAATTGTCCGTCAGTATTTGGACCAACGTTTTCTACGGAATTGGATTGGGAGAAGAGGCAGCATTGAGTGGCCTCCACGATCACCGGATTTATCGCCCCTTGATTTCTTTTTGTGGGGATACCTAAAAAGTAAAATCTATAAAACACAGCCAGCGTCGCTGGAAGATTTGCGTCAAAGAATCGTCGACGAATGCCGTCGAATCACTCCGGAAATGCTTCGGAATGTGCGCGAACGTTTCGAACAAAATCTTTATTCTTGTATGGAAGCGGGCGGTCATCAGTTTGAACATTTAATCAACTAAGTAGTAAGTAAGCAACTAAACATAATTTAAATTTTAAAATGTAAATTTTTTTCAAAGTATTGGGCGGAATTATAAAATTTAAAGTCTGTTGTAAAGAGAATTGTAAGAGCTTTCAAAATAAATATTACTCAACCCCCAATGCTATTTAAATATTTCGGGGTGATGCTTACCCTTGCTTGGGGGTTAAAGTGGCGGAGTCAAAAATACCAGCAAAGAATGTCCCCCTTTAATCTAAAATTGAGGGGTCTGAGCGTTTTTCTACAATCTTGACGCAGTTCCTGAAAATGGCTCTGTTTCGTTTTCATTTGGCCTCCCTGTATATTGTATTAGTATAAACTGTATTCCTCCTTCAAAGTACTCCCCTCCCCTATTCACACATTTTGCCCAGAGGTGTTTCCATTTCGTGACGCGATCCTGGATAGCTTCGTTTGAAATGACCTTTTGACGAATTTGCTTTGATGTCATCAATAGTCTGAAAACAGCGTCCTTTCGGCACTGATTTTAATTTCGGAAGCATAAAAAAATCGCAAGGCGAGTAAGGAAGATGAGAGAGGACAGTAATTTGTTTTTTGGCACAAAACTGACGAATTGACAAAGTTGGGTGTGCGGGCGCATTGTTATGGCCCAAGAACAATAAGTTGTCTCATTACAACTCTGGTCATTTTTTGCCGATTTTTTCAAGTAACCTTTGTAAAACGCCTTGATAGTACACACGGTTTACTGTTTCACCTTGAGTCGATAATTCAAAATGCACAGTTTCATAAAGTCGAAAAAAAAAACAGTGAGCATTACTTTGACATTGGATCGCGACTGACGTGCTTTCGTGGAGCATTTGCCAATCCATTGTGATGATGGAACTTTTGTCTCAATGTTGTAGTCGCAAATTCAGCTTTCGCCTCCCGTTATGATTCTTTGAATGAATGTTTCATCATCGTTAGATTGTTCAAGGAGTGGCTGACAAAAATTCGCACGATTTTCTTTCTGTTGTTCGGTCATCAAACGAGGAACAAATTTTGTTACAACTTGATGTATGTTCAATACTCAATTGAGATGCTAACCTCTTCTGAAATTTCTCAGACAGTCAATCGGCGATATGCGCGTACCAGATCTTTGACTTATTGAACGTGGGAGTCATCAGTTGAAGTGGGTGGCCTTCTTGGTCGAGGATCATCTTTAATTGATTGACGACCACTTTTAAATCATGAAAATTATTCGTAACCTTGCATATGACCCAGATCATCATCTCCGTAAGCTTATTTCAAAAGTTGAAACGTTTCCGTGAAAGTTTTCCCCAGTGTCACCCAAAATTTTATGTTGCATCGATGTTCCAGAAAATCGCACATTTCAAAAATCGTCACTAACACTTGAACACGTTGCCCTCAAATAACAAGATCACGAAAACTAAATGAGATATCAACAATCCAAGAACACGTGGTTACAGAGAAGGTTATGTTGCCAACCGCATATCATATATTCTAATTCAAACATTTCAGTTATTTTTTGAAAAGACTGCGTATGTTTGTGATTTAGATTATTGTGTCATCTTTGAGCCTGTATATAAAATATAATTGTTTTATTTAAATTTAATTTAAATAATAAATTTAAATTGATATTAGTCATATATCAAATTAGATTTAGAAAACATAAATCTTTGAAATAAAAGAATATAGATTTAAAAATTAAAAAGATTTCGGTGATTTTATTAAAAACCACATAATTTATAACTACAATTTGCATACGTATATATGCCTAACGTTTTAACGTTTTCTTCCTTGAAGGTGGAATAATTGCCGAAACTAGTAGGAATTTTTTTTTTAAATATGCTGAATCTTATTGTAGCGTTTAAAGACACGGCCTGTAAAATGTTAAGTAGGTATTTAATTTATATGGAAACGTATTTTGCCTTTCGCATCTCCGCCACTGAACGGGAAAATATTTTATGAAATTATAATATGTGCCCAGAAAAAGACATTTATTATACAGGGTCGGAAAGACCCCATGGTTCATCGGCCGTTACGTGAGAGCGATAAAGTAAGTCATAGAAATCCATGCGATAGAGAAGGATGGCTATAATGAAGGCGTCTCATAGTCACCGCCCGTTTCGCCCTTCCACAAATAAGATCCACTTCCACTTGTAATTCAGCGACCGGTGGTCATCTTTGTTTTCGTCGTTTGGCTTTTCTTTAATAGATGTCACTACTTATACAATTTCGACTTCGGTATTCCGATATGTTAATACCATCCGTTAACAGAGGGCAGCACAACGCGTAACAAAGAAAACTTTTTACAGTAGCTAGTAGATACCTCTGTTTGTAAATCTAGTGACCTTGTTTCCCCTACTGAGAAGTTATTCAAATGGAGTATAGTGCTCAGCTGCATTTAAAGTTCATTTAGTTGTTATTTAAGTATACTTTTTAAAATGACTTAAAAATCCCAAGAAATAAAGCAAAATTCCCTATTTCCCCAATTCCAAAAAAATCTGTAGATCTGGCATCACTCTTTCTAGGGCTGCGCCTCACCTTAGACAAATTGTGCTGCCCTCTGTTAACGGATTGTATTAACATATCGGAATACGAAGTCGGAATTGTATAAGTAGTGACATCTATTACAGAAAAGGCAAACGACGAAAACAAAGATGACCACCGGTCGCTGAATTACAAGTGGAAGTGGATCTTATTTGTGGAAGGGCGAAACGGGCGGTGATTATGAGATGCCTTCATTATAGCCATCCTTCTCTATCGCACGGATTTCTATGACTTACTTTATCGCTCTCACGTAACGGCCGATGAACCATGGGGACCTTCCGACCCTGTATATAAGTTCATAAATACCAATTTTTTCGTTGTTATATTTTTCCAATAATTTGATATGTTATGTCATTGTATAATACTTGGTGTTCCCCAAAGGAGGAAGGAATTAATTTCTTAATTTTTGTATTAATGAAAAATTTATAAATTGCTTTTTCATGTCACAATCTAGAATTAAATATCATATCATATTGGCAAATAAATTAATGTCCTTAAAATTAAATTAAACTTTAATAAATTAATTTCAATTGTCACAGTGTCCCAAATACTTTATATGTAATGATTATTTACATAAGTTAGATGATATAAACTGATAAGATTTCAAATTATTATTAGTTGATATTAAACAAACTTGAAGGTATGCCGATAAAATTGCAATATAGCTTCTTATTTTAATGGAATGAGTTGAAATGTCGTCAAATGTCCACTGAATTGCAGGCATATTTTACAATTTTTTTTTTATATCACGCATATATTTTATCAGTATTGCAAGGTTACTTCCTAAAATTCTGTGATATAAATTGGACGTTAACCTATCGAACATTATCAGTTGACATTGGAAACTGGAACACAGAACTTAATCACAATGAACACCTTCGTAAGTATATAATAAATATTCAATGTAATATTTCATTTGAAAGTTATTTAATTTGGCAAGTATTTAATATACATTTCTTCACTTCAGTTCAATCACTCGTCTTTTAACAGTACCAATTTTATTTGTCAATATAAAACTATTAATGTGTTTGAACACAGACTGTTGTTGCCTTCCTTACTACCCTTGCTGTTGCCCATGCTGGAGTAATCGCACCAGTGGCGGAAATCCTGCAAGGACCCAGTAGCAGGACTACCCTCGTAGGACCCGAAGGAAGCGTGATATCCTCTGTAGCTCCAGGTGGCCAAGTCATCACTGAATCCCTGCCAGGAGCAGTAGCTTACTCGGCTCCAGTTGTAGCTGCCGCCCCATTAGTGTCCACCTACGCTGCCCCAGCAGTACTAGGTTCTCCAATAGTGTCTGCTTACTCTGCTCCTGTGGTAGCTGCAGGATTAGTCGGCGAACAAACCGTCGTAGCAGGACCTTCTGGAACTATCGCTACTGGCCAAACCTTAGCAGCTCCAGCTGTAGCTGCTTATGCTGCTCCTATTTGGTAGATTTTTTATAAATAAAAACAAGTTACAAACCTCTTTTTTTAATTCTCAAATTTTTTCTTATACCTTTGTTAATATATTTTGATTGTAAATAAGTTGTTACACGAACTATATGGCAAAATGTTACGACTATTAATGCCACTAATCTTAAATACAACAAACTGAGAAAAAACTCACTAGTGGTAGATGAAACGTTACTTACCTCAGCAAAAAAAATGTATACAATAGAGGATAGCTAAATAATTCAACTGCAGTAACTAAAGTAGGATCTCTGATAACCAGTCACTATCACAAGTGAACAGGTCACCTAACTGTGGCACTAACACCTACTTAGATTTTTTGCTGCAGTAATTAGTTAAACTATGTTGGTGCGATTACTAAAGCTATTAGCTATTATGTAATTTTGATAAATTGGAGGTAAGTGAACTGTACACTAATGGTTAATAGACTGTTAATGTTAGTTGAATATTTCAAATAAATAATTAAATTACTTCAAAGGGAAATTAAATTTTTAATTGTAGGTTATAGGGAAAAATTTTTTACCTACAGTTAAATAGAAAATAGGTAAGTAGGCCAATACATTCAATTCCAAAAAATAATGTACTATAAAGGGAACATTAATTATTGGTGCATTTGGTACAAAAGCAAAGTTTTCTTTTGAAATATGTAAACTTTTAATCAAATATATGTATCATATAAATTGTGATTTTTAATTTGGTAAGTAGTTTTTTTTTAATCAGCTCCTTTCCGTGCAATTTTATTTCAATGACAAAATAATAAAGTGTGTAGCTATGTCATCAAACTTACCATTAGTTAGTTTTTTTGTCAATGTACTATTACAAAACTATATTTTGTACAAAAAAGTGGGAAACTTGTGTTAAAGAAATGCATCTTTTAACTATTCTGAGTGAAAAAGGGAGCAATTATAAAACGTAGCCATTTAAATTGAAATACAGGGTGATTCACAAACGGTAACCAAAAATGAAACCTCGTATTCTTTGGTGGTTTTTAAAGGGTGTCTTTCGTATAAAGTTTTTATCTAAGACGCTTCCTTAAAAAGATACAAAGAGTGTTAAACTTAAAAAAATGTTTTTAATTTTTTAAAATAATTTAAAAACTAGTACTTAAGTGAAATAATTTGAAATAATTGAAAATGTCTGTAAACTTTGTCAAAATCTGAGGCTCTTTCCTAAAAGTTAGATGCTCCAGTGGCGGAGATAGAGGGTATCGATGGTATATTTTTCTAAATAAAATAGTACGCCACTGCTTTACTGTAACAATGATGATATTTTCGGATTTGTCTTTCAACTTTCTACAAAATACTACTCTTTATGTTTTTCGAAGAAAGCCTGATTTTCGAGTAAAATTTAAAAAATGAACTGAAAACGCTTTTACTTAAATAACATGACAACACGAATCATTCGGTTATTATAAAGAAATTAATAACATTAGTCATCATTTTAATAATTTTATTTGAGTAAATGCTCAACAATACCTCCATTTTCTATGTATGAAATTTATTGTTGCTTGAATCTAATGAAAAGCATTATTTATTCTTTCTTCTAACTACTCAGAATGTCAAAGTTGCAATCGCAGCCTATGTAATTTTAAACACATTTTATTCGAATATCGAAGTGTGTTGTCATTTCGTTTTTTAAATTTTACTCGAAAATCAGGATTTTTTCGGTAAACATAATAGGGTAGTAATTTATAGAAAATTGAAAGATGAATCCGAAAATATCATGACTTTTACTGTAAAGCAGTGGCGTACTATTTTATTTAGAAAAACATGAAACCGATACCCCGTATCTCCGCCATTTTGGACAATGTTTAGATAAATACATGTGCCCCATTTCAAATTATTTCACTTACTAGTTTTTAAATAATTTAAAAAAATTAAAATTATTTTTTTAAGTTTATACGAAAGACCCCTCTTAAAATTCTTCAAAGGATACGAGGTTTTATTTTTGGTCACAGTTTGTGGATCACCCTGTACATATAATATAATTGATATAAATATATTATTAAATTGACATTTTAGAATCCCACATCAATTACTATTTTTAATGTGTAATTAAATAAAACCATACATTCGAATAATGTCACAAATTTCATATAATTTGTTACACAATGGAACTTAAAATTAATGTCATAAATTAATAAATATTTAAATTTAAAATAATTGATACCCATTATATCAATCAATTTTTGTGTGAAATAGTAAATGACAGAAAAACTTATTCGACTATCCTGCAATTTTTCAGCAATGCTTTAATGAAAAGAAAACAAACAAAAGGAAAAACTATTCAATGACAATATATTGCTTTTAGTTTTTGCACCATCATCAGAAAAATTAAGACTACACTTTTAGAGAAAGTAAATCAAGTTTATTTTAAATATTTTTATCTATCACGAACGTGTTGGCGTAAATATTTACCTTTATCTTTCATCTATATTCTTTTTTATGGGTGCTTTTAAATAGTCATATCATTACCTAGTTATTTTAGTCTAGACAGTTACAAATATTTGATACAGTAATACTGCAACTTAGTATAAAACACTGTTTGCTATGGAAAGTTCGTACGTTGACTTTCCAAATTTTAATACATAATATAAGAAAAGCCATGATCATGAATCAGTATTAAGATGTACTCTCTACTAATATTTAGTACCTAATCTATAGTAATTTTTGCAATATGAATATATTTTTGAAAAATGACATAAGTCATGTGTAAGTAGATAATCTTTTCTTTTTAAGTAAATGATTTAAAATGTACATAAAAAATGAATAACAAACTTCTGCAAAATAAGAATATTTTAAGAATGGGTTTAAATATTTTTTTTGGTTATGAAATAGTACATAGATACTCCGAAATACTTAAAAAAAGGAAACTATTTAAGAAATGCTACAAAATATTTTTTCTACTATAATATATGCATATGTTGCTAATTTTTTGCTATTGCATCACGCATATTTTTTTAATGCAAGGTTACTTCCTTAATCTAGTGATATAAATTCGATGCATCCTCATGGCTATGGATCAGTTGTATCGAAACTGGAGCAGAGAACTTAATTACAATGAACTCCTTTGTAAGTATTTGCCTTTCTTCAATGCATATATGCTTATTTAAAACAATTAAAAAAAATTACGTATAATTGTAATGTATTAAGTTAAACTAATAGTAATTTAAATATTCGTATACATACGTAGGCTGTCGTTGCCCTTCTCGTCACCTTTGCTGTTGCAAATGCTGGAATACTTGCACCAGCAGCGGGAATTCTGCAAGGACCCAGCAGCAGGACCACCCTCGTAGGACCAGAAGGAAGCGTGATCTCCTCTGTAGCTCCAGGTGGGCAAGTCATCACGGAGTCATTGCCAGGAGCAGTAGCTTACTCAGCCCCAGTAGTGGTAGCTTCTCCAGTTGTGTCTGCTTACTCTGCTCCCGTGATAGCTGGTGGATTAGTCGGTGAACAGACCGTCGTCGCAGGACCTTCTGGAACTGTCGCCACTGGCAGAACTTTGGCCGCTCCCGCTGTAGCCGCTTATGCCGCCCCATTATGGTAGAAGCTTTTGTAACTTGCGACTGACTGATTTGGAATTAAACTAAACGACTTATTTATTTCCGTCTCAACTGCAGATGATGTGCATCTTATGGATTTCAAAGTTCGTACATCTTTAAAAAAATAACCATTCTAATGGTCTTATATAGGTCTAAAACACTGGATTGCTCAAATTAATTCTAGAAATTGTCTTTGAATAATTGAACAGTGACGTCTAGGCTATAAGTTTGTCATTAATTAATGCTCTTTTAGATAATAGTGTTCTAAGGGCATATTCTGAAGTATCTGTAGTTGTAATAAACTGTTTTGAATAGTCTCGATGTTGGTCAGTTATTATTTAAAGAATAGGTAAGGCGAAATGTAATTTTCATTGGAGGATCACTTTCTTATGTAAAAATGTGTCACAATTATCCACTAAGGATATTTTGCAAATGGAAATGGTAAAAATGTGAGCTTAGAATGAAATGTGTTATTTTGGAGGTAGAATAAAGTGAAATTAAAACAGAGATAGAAGAGAAACAAACTTTAAATTTAGAAGAAAACAGAAATACGAATAACAAAAAGATCGCTGTTTAATTTACAACTTTCTTGTATCTTCTAGAATGAAGAAAGTAAAAGTGAGTTTATGGTAAAAGTTCAGTGCCTTCATTTCAAAATGTGGTTCCATCGTAACTACATGTAATAATATTATGAAACAGGATATAGCAACAAATTTCCTGTGAAGAAGCATGATTTAAAAAGGGTGCGTGGTCTATATGGGGCTAACCCTATTCAAAGTTGAATCGAAATTATTTTTATAAACAAAAATCTTAAATATAAAAAAGAAAACATAAAATATAATGTCTGTGTCAACTAAAAGAGGATTTGATTTCTGACGAAATGATGCAATAGGTTACAGTGTGTTCTGTTTCAAATATAACTTTGAGCAGTTCGAAATTGATAGAATGAAGTAAACAAATAAAAAATAAAACACTGGATCCTTGAATTTATTTGAATTATAGCATACATATATGACACTTTTTTATTTTACATTACGGAAAAAATAAAAATTTTTGCCACACGATAAAAGTGAAATAGTGGTAGTAGATATTTCTCATTTTTTTATAAAATATCGAAAATATCGATTGACCACAGGAATAGGTAACTAAAAAAGTTATGTTCTTTTAAAAAATATAATAAAATTGGAAATATTCTTGTTAAAATTTGCGTGGCTGAAAATCTGGGCACATACATTTTCAGAATCATATTGTCATTTGATTCTTCTAATGTATGATGTTTGTGATACGATAAACTGTAGAAACAATATCTACAAATAAATTACAATGAATAACAATGATGGAATGAAATATTTATTTAATAATCTAAATTTGTGTATTATTTTAAGACAATAAATTACAACTTTTATATTTTTGTAAAAAAAACAAGGAAATTACTTGAAAAGTGTTTTTCAAATAAATTAATTACCATTAATTACCTTCTCTGTATGCAAATGACACATGCAATGTACATATTTCCAAAGAACAATTTCAAGAAAAATTAGGACCGTAAACACAAGTAAGTCATTCAATTTCTGATGACATATATGACAAACTGTATATTAAACTTCACTATGAGTACAGCCTATGTACATAATTATTTAAAACAATATTTTTATTTAAGCATATTTTGAACAGGTGCTTATGATAATTTACCCCCTCTTCACTGAAGCGTTACCCGTTAATCTCTATGGACGCTACCTCTATAACCCTGGCTCTGCTTCTATTGGTAATAATTTAAATTTGGGAATATTCGGCCAGCAGCCAGTTAAAATTCATGTTCCTGCTGATGGATGCTATACCAGCGCTTCTTCTTTTCTTTCGTCTGGAACATTTTAATACAACGTCCTGTAGAAGAACATAAATACATAGACACAAAAATGCAGTATTTCTACTTTTCTCTTAAAAATAACTTCTGATTTGTGTTTCAGTTATAATTTATTTTAACAACTTATGTAACGTGAATTACTATTGTAATTAAAACTTTAATTGGAGTATCCAATGCCACCTAGAATTTTTAGCTGAAACAAAAACTTGATAAATTTAAAATTGTAAGTCGGTACAAAAATTGACTTTTAGGGAAAAAAATTCTAACGTAGAACTCATGGATTATTAACTGGACCGTCGTAATTAGCTTATCAAATACATCTAGAAGGATTAACAAAAAATTAATTCCAATGGACCATAACATTAATATTATTCTACGTTCCTATTCTAAAATTCCGGTATAAACCCAATATTGAACTTGGCTCCATCCTGCAAAACTTTGTGCCATGTGAGTCAGAAATCAGAGGATGATTTACTTTTTCATAAAAATGTATTGTTAGTACATAAGTACTAAATAAACTTTGTCCTCTTCATATTCACATAATCTCCACAAAACAGTTATTGTACCATTTACAAGAAAAACGACATTTGTTCATTCGCGATCCAACTCAACTTGTAGGAGGAGACTAAACTATTTGCGTAAGTGAAATACATGACTAAGCATTATCTTAGCTCAATTGAAACTCCTATGTGTAGAAATTTCTCCACAAAATAAGAAACTCACTGTTGACATGTCGACGTATTTATGAAAAAAAAACAACTGCACTGTTATGATTAAAGGGCCTATGATTACGTATGGCTCGACAGTTTGGTGGTTTAAAAGTATTCAAAGATCAACCAAAGCCAAGCTGTGGTACTTACAGAGTTAAATATGTCTTGAGAAACTAATGCAATCAGCTTGATGCCATCAGCTGCTCTGCATCTTCCTAGACGGACCACCAAGCAGCTCTTATTGTTAGTAGGATTCAAGATCAGTATGGAATTATCAGGGTGCTTTGGGACGGTTAGGAAATAATAACGTGGTGCACTGGTCTTGATACCTAATCATTTAGGTCTCTTGAAGAATGAAAGTGTGATTTGTCTAGCTACAGATGGTACTGCCACAACCTTTATAGCAACAGAACCAGCACTTGGCTTCTGCTATTGACATGAGTGAAGAAAACGCTTGAATACTGGCAAAGGTTATATTGGTGTACTTTTTTGTACCATAGTGTGTAGTCTTGATCAAGTAATGGGATTACGAGAGCGAAAAACCGAAGTGGCCGATAAGAATAAAGAAATGTCAGCGATGGCCATGGAGTAATATTCTATCATGAAATAATGAATACCGATTCCGTTTATACAAGATTTGCAATATCAGTAGATTGGTCGACTTATCTTCAAAATGGCGGATCATTGATTAAATTTAAGAGTAAAGCACGTAAAATATTAAAATTAGCAGTAGAAATCTACTGGTGTTTAGTCGGGTGACCTTCGTGGTCAGTTAATAGGACCGTTGCGACTAATCTATTTTCCAGAGAGCTGTTCATTTAACCAGTTTCTGAAATTCGACTATTGTGTGGAGGTGCTAACGTTCGGTTGGAAATACACGTTCCTACGTTTTTGGAAGGTCATGAAAGCACCCCAGAAGTTAATTGCTAAAAATTGTAAGTAACGATCCTATAACTCTATCCTTTAGTAATTTCACACCAGACACTGATTGAAGTTGAACGAACTCCCGTGGTTATCATTCAAGAATTTATTGGTGATATTTGGCCCATTAGTAAGTGAACACCCTGTATAACGTGAACGTACTAATAATGCAGCTGTTTTTCTTTTAATTCTTACATAATTATTAAGGTAGTTTTTGTATCACAATATTTTGATATCCAAATTTTGTAGATTCATTAGAATCTTTCTTTCACTTTAGTAGCTTATCATTTATTTTATTAACCGGTAATAGCCATAGCCATAATTTAATCAAGTTACCAATTTTTTTAAAGTTTAAACATCTACTATATACAATTTTAATTATTTTGAAAAGTTAAAACATCTACTATAAATAATTTTAATTTTTTTAAATAAGTAACCTCCAAAATAAGATAAGTGTTTTTAAAAATACATTTATTAACTCGAACACAACAACATTACATCACAAACATCTACCAAATGGTGCGAGCTACAACTCCGTGGGCGGCGTAAGGGGACACAATGGGGGCGCTGTAGGCAGCTACAGCGGGAGCGGCGTATGCTGCAACAGCGGGAGCGGCAAGAGTCCTTCCGGTGGCGATGGTTCCTGAGGGTCCTGCTACTACGGTTTGTTCACCGACTAATCCAGCGCCTACTACGGGAGTAGAATAGGCAGACACTACAGGGGCGGAATAGGCGGAGACCAGGGGGGCGGCGGGCAAAATTCCGGCACTGGCGGCAGCGAAGAGAGCGAAGAATGCAACAAGCACCTAATTGATAATGAGTATGAATATTAATTTTAGTTACCAAATAATTAATAATACTTACGAAGGAGTTCATTGTGATGTATGTTTGGTTTGCAGTTTCTTAGAATCAACTGATGTTGTTCATTGGTAGACTAGTTGCTTATATACAAGAGCTTTTCGTAGGTTAACCTTGTTTTTAGGACGGTATGTAAATTAATATGTCAGTGGTACCGGAGGTACGAGTTTTGTTACTAAGCTATCAGTAGCAGTTCCCTTAAAAAATATAGCAGGAAGTTGAAGGTTTTTTCGCATGTTAATAGATATTGTGTAGGACATTAAAATTAGCATATATTTTAATCAAATATTTAGATAAGTATATTACAGTTCTGCTATTTATGAGAACAAATGACATATTTATTATCAGCTTTCAACGTTTCAGACAACGATTTCGACATATTTATTACCCATTATTTTTCCTCAACAATATTCGAATATAACATTATAATGTTCTTCATCTTTCAAAATTGGTTGGAACAATAATTGAGTTAATTTTGAACCAAATTAAGAAACAATATACTAGGTGGACGGAAGTCATGGAAAAAAGTATTATCCTTTTTAGTTTTTAATCTTTCGAAACTATTTGTTCCTTCATCAGGAATATCTGCAAGTGAATATATAATTAGATAACCTGTTAAGTTAAAAAACAACATTTAAATCAGGTACTTGCTGATTGAGAATTTAATTTGAAGTTAACAATATGAGTTGTGTCATTAAATGGGGTATAAATTATAGTATAAAACTGTTAAATATTAAAATAACATGTTTAAAAATAATAACATTCTAAATATTATAGGTTTATTTGCTAAATGCGGGATTAGATGTGAAATCGAAACAGTGGCCAATTTATCAGTCATGCGTGATATGGCTGGAAGATAAGAAATGTGAAAAAAGTTTTATGCCTCACTGTACAGGATGTCCGTCAAGCCCTGGTCCCTATTATTGTTGAAATATTGATTTAATTAAAATGTGTAGATTATACTAAGACCATCGAATCTGAAACTGCGCTTGAATTCTTAAAAAGCTTGAAAACAAAAAATAATACCTAATACTTTTTTTCCATGACTATTTCCCCATCCAGCTAGAATTTTGTTTCAATATACAAGGTGTCCAGTTCATGTTTCAAAAAAACTTGTGTGCAAGTTTTTCAAGGGAATGTAATGGAGGTAGTTCATGTAATGTTTTTTTCTCAGACTCCCGGTTTTCGAGATACAATGTGTGTTGAAGTTGTTACTTTCCAAATGGTTTTCCTTCATTATCTTTAAATCGGCTAAAGATAAAAATGTCAAAATTTGTACACGAGTAAACATCAACTGTGTATTAAGAATAATGTGCAAAGGGTTTCTTTCAGAAAAACAATGTTGGCAATACGTTTAATTGAAGGGGTACAATCGGAAATTGGTATGTTAAAAGTTAAAATTAGTTTTACAATTTTTTTTGTACTTCTAGAAATTCGCTATCATGTACCATTTTCGAGAAAAATAAAGTGTCATTTTTTGCTCACATAAAGTGGCATAAGTACATTAACAGAATATTAAATTGAAAAAGGACGTTACCATTGAATGAATTGAAGACATTTAGCTACCAACAATCTTTGCATTTAGGAATACAATTTTAATTTCTTAAGTATCACATAAAACAGTTAAATTATAAAACATTTTATTAACTTAAAGAAATTAAAAAATTAAAATTCATTTTAAGTTTCAGCTTGTATAGAGTAACATTTAGAAAATCAAAATAATCAACTTTTGGCAATTAATTATCTATTAATAACTTATTTTAGATTTTATAAACTACTACACTATCACTACTAAAGCAAACAATTATTGAATGGACTGAATTATTAAACAGAAAAATATTAGGAAAAAGACTCGGAGACAGACAGTACAAAATAGCTGCACAATTAAAAAAAAAGAGCAAAACTCGAAATACTGCAGTAAATGCTGAAATTGTCCCCCATTTGCTTCTATGCAACTTCATTTTTCTCGAAAATGGTACATGCGACCGAATTTCGACAAGTATAATTTTTTTTTGTAGTATGTTTTAGAGTTTACAAAAACGTTTAAAAATGTAACAAATTTTTACTCTTAACATATTATTTTTTTTTCAATTGTACCCCTCCAATTATCTGTATCGACGACACTGCTTTTCTGAAATAAACCATTTGCCACATTATTCTTAACCCACAGTTCATTACTCGTGTACAAATTTTGAGATTTTTATTTTTAGCCGATGTGAAGATAATTAAAGAAAACCATTTGGAAAGTAACAACTTCAACACACTGTATCTTGAAAACAGGGCGTCTAAAAAAACGTTACATGAACTACCTCCATTATTTGAGGAACTTGCACACAAGTAACACCCTGTATATTAAAATATATTTATATATTTGAGATTTAAAACAAATAAAGCATCTATCTATTCATATCCGTAAATGTTTGACTGTTAATTCCACATAATTTTAAGGTTACTGACTATTTCAAAAATTGGATCAATGAATTTAATTTCTAATGTTATTTCGGAGAAAAAAAGCACATCTCTCAGTAATAACTGAATCTTAATATTTCTCTAAAACTATTCACATCACATACAGGAATTTTATTTACTCTGTAGGTACTTATCATACTAAAAAAATGACTGGCGTAGAAATTAATTTTTTTTGGTGGGGGGGATGTAAATTTTTCTAATTCTTCGGATAATCAAGCAATTCTACCAAAATTTCTTCTGTTAGTTTCTCTACATGTAAAATTATGTTTCGAATACAAAATTTGTGTACATGTTTATTGTGAAACGGATAATTTTAGAGATATTTTTTAATTATTCATCACTGCTGTAAGCTTCTTGAAATTTAAAACATAACTTTAAAATCAAAGACACAATAAAAATTAAATGCAAAGTGTTACATTTTTCTACAAAACTGGCATTTTTTAGTTATTTATCAGGTATATCTAATTTCACAATTGAAAACACTAAATATATGTTGTCTAAATACTGATTAGTGACTGATTAGGTATGTAGGGATGAACATATAGATATTTGGAAATACATATTACAGTTTATAGAAATTTACCTAAGAATAAGTACTGAAATCTAATATGGCCAATGAAAAATTTAAAATCATGAATGATAGTATTCCCTATATTTTTTCAAAAGCAGCTAGATGTACTGTCTTTAATTATTATTTATTCGTGGCATAGTTTTTTTTCTCTTTTTACTTGATTCTTTGGCAAAATGTGAAACAAAGTAATAAATACATATTAATCAAACGTATCCTTGCTCCAAAAGGATACGTTTGATTTGATTTGGTAAGTTTGATACGAGGAAAAAGCAGATATAGGTATGTGAAAGAGAAGTATCATTCCCGATTTTGAGAAAGAAAAGAGGATGATTATCACAACGTTGATTAACTCACATATGCGGTTTTATTGGCCAGTTTTTTTTTCAGTATGATATTTTTGGCTAGGCAAAATAGCTTCATAAAGTAACCATTAACTGATCGTTTTGTCGCAAGGGTTTCTCTAATTAATTTTTTAAAATAAACGGAAAAGCAACTAGGTGCATTAAAAAAAATATAAAATCTATCTACTTTACTTAAACTAGCTGAAATATTAAAAAAAAATTTTTTTGAAAATTATATTTATTTTCTACAACACATTACATCACAAAGATCTACCAGATGGTGCGAGCTACAACACCTGGGGCGGCATAAGAGGACACGATGGGAGCGCTGTAGGCAGCCACAGCAGGGGCGGCGTATGCTGCAACAGCGGGGGTGGCAAGGGTCCTTCCGGTAGCGATGGTTCCTGAGGGTCCTGCTACTACGGTTTGTTCACCGATTAATCCAGCGCCTACTACGGGAGCAGAATAGGCAGACACTACAGGGGCGGAATAGGCGGACACCAAGGGCGCCCCTGGCAAAATTTCGGCGCTGGCGACAGCGAAGAGGGTGAAGAATGCAACAAGCACCTAATTCAAAACGTATATATAAGTAATAATTTCGGTTACGAAGTAATTAAAATACCTACGAAGGAGTTCATTGTGATGTATGTTTGGTTTGCAGTTTCTTAGAGTTAACTGATGTGGTCCGTCAGTGAATTATGTGCTTTTATACGATAGATTTTCGCAGGTTAGCCTTGATTTTAGGATAATATGTAAATCAAGTGAGTCAATGGTGCCGGTTATAGTATAGTATTTGTGCGTAGACTTCTGGTAGCGATTGCGATAAATTTATAATGGGAAACTCGACCGTTTTATCTTTATTGTCAAATTTATAAAATAGGCATGGCATTAATTTAAATATCCACGTGTATTTACTCATTTGGTATACAAAAATTAATTGCAGATTAACAAATTATCGTCCTTAAGATTGTCAATCAAAAATTATTAATTAAGAGGCATGAAACTATATTTGCCTCAAATGATGTTTAATTAAGAAGAGTTTTATAAAAATTGGTACTCTATTTGTTTAAATTTGTTAAATAGCTTTGCTGGTATGTTCTTGGTGTAACTCCTTTGCATAGCATGTTTTCTTATATTGACTCAAATATATTTGTTGTAAGGAGATAATAGTCTTTTTCAAATTAAAAGGGGTTTATCATTTTTTGTATTAATGAATAGACGGAAATATACTTATATTTTTTCAATTAGTCGTATTAGATACACTCTAAGAAATTTTGTTGCCACAACTGAAATTATGATTAATATGATCACATTATATTGTTAAAATAGGGACAAACATGTCATATAGTTAAACTAGCAAAATATGATAACCCTGGCATTGTCAAATTAACAATAAATTATGGTAATAGACACGACATCCAGACTGTTTATGATAACTATATGTTAGTTTATTATTACCATATATCAGTGGTTAATGCAACTATATTATTCATTAGGGGCGAGTATGTATTCCAGCATTTCTAGCAATGTAAGTATTCCCTTTATACTATTTTAATTTTTTTTATATTAACTTTAACGATCCAGTATTGTCTCTACAAATGAATGTATTTTGTTACCACAACAGTATGATTTTAGCGTTCAGAACAATATGAAATTGTTAACAAGTAGTAACTTCAAATAAATATTTGAGTATTGTGTTCTATGGAGAAAATCCTACAAGAAACAATCGATTAATTTGACAAATCCAGTGTATATTGAAAACCAATCGAGTTAGCCATAGTTTGTACATTAAACTAAGCCCGAAAAAAAGGAACATGGAACACGTATAGTCTATTATCTGCAATACCAAAAAATATATGTGCCAAGTAAATCTGTTGTAATGTACCTACTTACCAAACAAATATCAATTTGAAAATAAGTGAATTTATACCTATTTGTCGTTTTACCACAGAAATGAAAGAAAAATCTTCTTTACAACGGACATTAACCCCGATTTAGTAACTATGCAACAGGTGATGCCACGCTAACACGTCGGACATAATCCTACTAATACTAACTACGTAGTACATACGGTAGGATAAATGTGGAAATTATACCTACCTTCAAATTTCCCTATTAAATGAGGCAATACCCAATCATTTAATATTTTGGCCTTCATAACGTTCATATTTTACACAATAATATTATTGTCAAATTCAACATAAATATTATTATTAGAATCATATTTTATCAACAATATTATTATTGCTATAATAAATATTTACGATATATTGTTTTGATTTCTATAATTTCAGTTGATCCAAATATAAATTTTTCTAAAAAACAGTATTATAAATTTAACGATATATATTTTTTAGAGTGTATATTAAAACGTTATTCAATTGATCAAGATATTACAAGTCGCCATATTAGTGCAATATTTTTAAATCTTTCAATATACCGACCAATTTGTTTGTTTCATCGTCTCCAATTTCTTAATCTATTTATTAAAGGTCAATCAAGTCAATTATAATCTTGATTAATTGACTGGGTTAAAAATTGGTAGAATACTATAAATTGCCAGGTTTTGATGAATATCAACTGTATAAGTAGCTAATGATGTAATGGGAAACAACTACTCTGCGTGCTATAGCTCCGTCTATATTAGATATTCATCTAGTAAGCAGTTATGATCATTGGTCTGCAGAATCACCTGACATAGTCAGATTTCAAACTTATTAGTTCTCGTCAGTATGCCATAGGTGAGACGACCAATGAACGATTTCGCTATTTGAATGTATATATATCTACTACTACTACTGCTACTGCTTCAGTGTAGGTTATATCTCACTCACACTCAAACTACTCAGTGAGAACACGAACATAAAAATAATGTCTATTGATACGCGAACCCTCAGTTGAATAACCATTGAAATGTCCGGCTAATCCGTGTTATTTTCAACTAGAGTTTTGACACCATTTTACGGTTTTTCAAAACTACAATAACTCTCTTTTGAATCCTAATAACTTCATAGTTTGGAGCTATTTATAAACTAACATCCAAGCTGTACGAAATTTGTTGAGACAAAGTTCCAAGAAGACCTCTGCGTCGCTTTCTTGGAATTAACCACATTCAACACCAGAGGTATAAAGACATTGGCGGCGTTGAGTTCACCGTAGCAACTTATAGTACATACTGTGCTTTGCAGTAGACGTATTTCTTCGTAAGTGTATATTGCCCTGTGCATTTTGAGTGTAATTTGTTATTAAAATGAATCAATGGAGGTGAAAAATAAAAGAAATCTTCCCAGTTCCCAGTCCAAGAGTATCGTATTTAACGTGTTTGTGTTTACCTTATATAGGTATATGAAAATAACGGGGAAAATTTCAAGGAAAATTGTCGCGGTAAATTGTTAAAGTAATTCCGATAACGGAGCTTTATTGACTTATTCTTTCCTTGGAATTTTATGACAACAAATATTGTATGGACTGTACAATTAATTTAATAAACCAGTTTCAGATTTCTTCTTTGACTTTAACAACAAATAATTTTGTGTATTAAATTTTTCTTGTTTTTATAACGTTTAATTGTAAATTTTACGTAACCTGCATGCATTTAACGTTTTACATTTCTTTAATGTTCCGTTGAAAATTCAAACCATTGAATTTTCAACCTTTAACGTTATACAGGGTAGCCCATCGAAAACGTACCGCAAAGCATGATTTTGGTGAGCCAAAAATTGTCCGCTTTTTGTTTCGTATTTAGATAGGCCACAAGAAGTTGTTAGATAACTGTCTTGTGACTTGTAGTTGAAGAGTACCAATACTGCCGAGTCTTTTAAATTTATTAATTATGGTGTACTCAATTCCAGAAAGAGTAGAAATTATTGAGCTTTTTTTCAAATGGGAAATCGGGTCGCTGAACTGTTCAACCAACGGCATCCTGAGAAACATGCGTCTGGAAAAATTGTTCGCGAATTGGTGGCCAAATTTCGCGAAACTGGCTCCGTTCATAACAAAAAGAGGCAGGTTGAAAATCTGGTACTAAATGAACCTACGGAAATAGCGGTATTGGGGCAAGTGGCAATGGATAGTACGCTGAGTGCAATGCAATTGGCTACTGCGACGGGAGAATTCGCAAATCAGAAAAAAAACAGCGAATTCTTTTGAAGGAATTTACCAAGCTAATACCGTAAGTTTTGAAGTAAAATTAAATCGATTTTCGCATTTCTCGTCAAAAATATTGTTTGTATTTTCAAAGCTGCATATTTTCTAAAATAATGGATCGATTTTCAAAAAGTAAGAATCGATGTATAGAGAATTAAAAGCCCTTTCTAATGACCCCCCACTTGACCCCCATTCCCATTTCAAAAAAATTAGGGGATAGCACCCCCCACTTAGGGGGTTGAAGATTTTGGTATGTGTTTTTGAGCCAAAAGTTGTCCCCCTCAGAAACAAATTTGACCTATTTTTGGATTTTGCCGAAAAGTTCTTTACTACCCTGTAATGCCCTGCGGTACGTTTTCGATGGGCTACCCTGTATAAGCCAAAACTATGTTAACCGAATGCCTCAAGTATTAAAAAAATATTGCATTCTTAAGCGATATTAAAATATAATTTGGATCTTGGTGAAATCCTGAAGATGCCTGCCAAAACATTAAATATGTGAAATATCAATTATTGTGTTTATTCTACAAAAATAAAACTTTGTGTTTATTATTCCTATAATAGGGCAATATCTGTATAACTATTTCTTTTTTTTCAAAATTACAAATAAACTGATATTTCAGTAATATTAATCATTTCTGTTCACTAATGTATTTAGATATGTTTTATGAATAATAAATATTTAACGTGACATCTCTAGTAGGAACCTAGGTAAGTGAAATTTTTACGCAGAAGCTTATTTTTTTATGTTTATGTTTATTTTCTTCCACAAAAAAACTACATCACAAGAATCTACCAAATGGTGCGAGCTACAACAGCGGGGGCGGCATAAGAAGATACAATGGGAGTGCTGTAAGCAGCAACAGCGGGAGCGGCATATGCTGCAACGGCGGGGGCGGCAAGGGTTCTTCCTGTGGCGATGGTTCCTGAGGGCCCTGCTACTACGGTTTGTTCACCGACTAATCCGGCACCTACTAGAGGAGCAGAGTAGGCAGATACGATGGGGGCGGCAGGCAACAAACCGGCACTGGCGACGGCGAAGAGAGCGAAGAATGCAACAAGCACCTAATTCCAAAATATGTATAAATAATTTCATTGGATGATAATAAAGTACTTACGGAGGAGTTCATTGTGATGTATGTTTGGTTTGCAGTTCCTAGAGTCAACTGATGTAGTCAGGAGCAGAACTGCTGTATTATATACTCAAGTTTTTCGCAGGGCAACCTTGTTTTTAGGATAATATGTAAATTAGGCAGTCAGCTGTACCGGAGGTACTATAATTGGCACACAAGTTATCAGTAACTATTATCTCCCAAACATAAAAAAAAATGCAGCTAGTGTTAGATTAAAAATATAGCAGCAAGCTTATATTATAATGTGTAGGTATGTCAATATACAGGGAAGTCATAATTATTTTTAATTGACCAATATTAATGGATATGTTGGTTAACAGAATGTAGCAACTATAGAACAAATTTATAGTAACACAGGAGGTAAATAAATAAGTGCAGATAAATTGAAGAGGTGGTCGCTTGTTAAAAATAAAGAAATGAGGATCTATCATTTAAAAAAACCTTGCTGTGAAATTTTGATTTCATTGAATAATTAGACAAAGTTACAAAAATGGACTTACGTTCTTACTTTTCCATTATCGAAAAAACATTTATTGGAAAATTTCTTCCCCTCCCGTTTCAAAAGATGGAACTAACCACCCCTACAAGTAATTTTTTGTAAAACTTCTTTCAGTCGTTAGATGGTCATTTAAATACCTTAGATAGTTTAAATTTACCTTTGATCTCTTTCATTTTTTCGTGAATGTAATAGTGCCATAGTGCACACATAGAATTATCCTTCGTGGGAGAACTTTTATTGCAATAAATGCGCATAAAAGCAAAAGAAAAGAAACTGAAAAATGGAAAACCATGAAGAATTTTGAGTTACTGCACATGAATCAGCAATGTGGTTTCTCAATTCCTGAATATTTTGCACATATACAAAAAAATCAGTAATATTTAAATGAGAAGGACAAAACTGAGGCTCGGCATGACCTAGTAGTAGTAGTAATAAAGGGGCGGCCTCAGCCTGTCAATTAGTCCACAAGTGGGCCCTTTTTGCCTACCCCGCCGCCCCATCACCTATCCATTCTCTGCCTCTGACCATCCTCGAACCTACTCGCCCTAATGAATGCCAGGATTTAGGTCCATGGAAGGTCTCTCACCTCAACCCCTTGCAGCTCTTCAGCACCAAAGACTTTATGTGTTATTCTCCCAAAGGCTGCACAATGTCCCAGAAGGTGGACAGGGGTGTCCTCCCCTTCCCCACATTTCGAGCTTAGAGAGTCCTCCTCAATTCCTATTAAACTTAATGCCTCCTAAGTCTGCAGTGACCTATCAGAACCCCCACCATTTGGTTTAGGGCTCTTCGACTAAGACTCTCGCCATCTCGTCTTGGATTTGCTAGGTCCATGTATAAAATATGGGCCTGCCTACATTCTCTATTTCTCCTCCAATGCTGACCTAAAGTTTGATAGGCCCATTTATTGAGGACCCCATTGATGCTGCCTCGTGTGATACCTAAGATTGGTTCAAGTCTGGCCAGGTCCCCTGGATCCGAGACGAGCTAGTTGATCAGTCCTCTCATTACCAGGGATACCCATATGGCCTGGGACTCAAACCAACTCTACCTCTCTTCGTCTGGCCAATGACTCTAGAGCGTCTCCACATTCCTGAACAAGGGCAAACCTAGTCCTCGGGGAGCTAACCGCTCGGAGCGCGGCTTGACTGTCGGAGCAGATAAAAATCTTCTCCTTTACACAATTCCTTACCTCCTTCAGCATGACCTAACAATCTGAATATGTTACATTACAACAAACAGAAAATAGTCATTGTATTACATTTAAATGGGCGGGAGACCTATCATGCATAAAACCAAAGCTGAGATCTGCCACCTAGAGGTACATTTTCAACTATGTCTTCACTAAAGTCATTGTACGTATATCTATTAAATCTAGGGGGACGAAATTGTGGACCAATTAAGAGATCTCCAAAAATTCTAGTCCATACCTTTAGAGAAAACTGATTATCTTCTGTCTGTATGTGTTAAATATGATCATTAATTATATTATCGATGATGCTCTTGAAAAAATTGACTTCGCCTGTAAACAATATCTGTGCCACAAACTCACGATTTTGCCCAATCTTTTCTAGAATCCAATGCAAAAGTGCAAAATTCTGTGAAAAGAGATAAATGTGAATTGTGATAAATTTTATTCTTTTAAAGTGGCCCATAGTTGCAACGTTGCAACAGTAGTTAGTAAGGCATTTTTTTCTAATAACGACAATTTCACGTTCAAAGCATACCACCAAGTCACCACCAATCAGTCTTGTATTATTTTATCCATTCCGACCCTATTCGTATAAACCATCTACAAATCTCTCTTAGTTTGAAATGATTCCATCTAAAATTTCTGTGTTTATTTACAACTATCAACTCTTAAAAATTGCATAATAGCATAGAGCTGTAGTGCTAGCTATTTGGAGATATTACTAATAGGTACTTTTTAATATATAACTCCTTCCGGTGTACGTCAGGGTTCTGTTCTGGAGCCATTATAATTTAATATATTTATAAACTTAAAAATTAAAATATGACTGATGTACCTTGTTTGCTTTATGCTGATGATTCTAAAATGTTGAACATTGTTCACTACAGGTAATACTTTAAAAAAAACTGTAGGCGGCTTCAGGATGATTTACGTAGGCTAATTATCCAGATGGTGCATAGAAAATAGGCGCCACTCAGTGCGACAAAGTGTAACGTTATGTCATTTACTCGCATATTATCTCCTCTTATTTTCAAATTATAATTTAAACAGTGTGTTCATGTTATTTTAAAGACCAGACACGTTCCAAAATCCTTCCTCACAAGCAGCTATTATCGATAAGACACTTACAACACTAGGTTTCATTTTACGAAGCTGCCGCAATTTTATTAACTTGGAAATCCTTTACTATGATATTGTTGTCCTCTATATTTTATGTGTAAAATTCTTAAGTGTTGCAGTGACATTGGCATTTTTAGTTGTCTTGAATAGTATTTTAAACATTAATTTTACTAGTTTTACTGTTGGATTTTCTTACGTTGTTGTGTTTTTTATGTATGTTATATTATTTCCATTCTGCACCCTGTTGTTCTGTAATTCGGTGTACAGCTGTAAAACAGTTATTGTCAAATAAATAAATATTTCAAACAAACGTGACTTCATATAATTAATTCTGACAAGTCCCATTGTTTTGACGTGAGCGTCTTGTATACGCTAACGGTTACTACATTCTCCCTTGTATGTTTTCTTTAAACATTTTATATTTCAGAACTTCGTAAAATGCCCTGCTCAGAAAAAATTTCATAGTAGGTTATATAAAATTGCTCCAACACCTATTTCTTTATCGAATTATATGAGTGAAAGTCTTCATCCCAGTATATTAAATTATATTTTCAGGAGGAAATCAAGGAAACGCGACTACTTGTGTTGACGAAGATTTGACTTTTATTGCATCATATTATAATATATGCACCCGGAAGATAAAATTACAGCTCGAAATTTTGGTATAAATAGAATAGATCGAAGATTTATCACCAGTTTACTGTTACTACCGTAAATCGAAACAACTACATCAAAATGAAATTCTTCGTAAGTACAAATATTGATTTTAAACCATTCCAATTAAATTTAAAAAAAGATACTTATTCTAAAAAGCTTTCCATAAAATCGATGACATCATATTTCGCAATTAGATTGCTTTGATTACCTTCAACTAATAAAATAATTATTTGGTCGTCTATAAAATTTCAGATTATTTTTGTAGTTATAAACCTCCTTATTAAAAAATGAGTAACCTGCTGAGTTTTCTATATTAAATTCTACAATTTGCGGCAAAAATCTCAAATAAATGATCTTAAAATTGCCTTAAAGGTGTCGATCAAAAGAAATTAATTTCTAGTTGTACACCTAACACTAATAAAACACTATTTTCTGTTATAATTTTAGGCTTTTGTTGCTTTCTTCGCCTTCTTGGCTGCAGCACACGCTTCAGTGCTTGCTCCAGCTGTAGTGTCCGCCTACTCTGCTCCAGTCCTCGCTGGTGGTTTGGTTGGTGAACAGACCGTAGTAGCTGGACCTTCTGGAACCATCGCCAGAACTATTGCCGGTCCAGGATTAGCCGCTCCCATTGTGTCCTCTTATGGTGCCCCTCTTGTAGCTCGCGCCCTTTGGTAAAATGTATGAATGAACTATGATGATGCAGGATAAAAACTATAATATCTAAATAAATTATTGAAAGAACCGTTGGTTTTAATTTTTTTACTCCTAGTTTTAAACATCGATACGTATATATCCCCACAGCTCCTACATAGTTCTCTAACTTACCACTCTTATAATCCCACAAATAAAAACACAAATATTTTCAGAAATGTATCAGTTTTTATTTCGAAAGATACAACGATATAAAGCCAATTTGCGAAAAATTTTTCTATTTTGACATGTTTTCTCGCCTTTTCTCTAATATAGGAATAAAGATATCAAGCGAATTGATAAAAAGTAAATTAAGCATTGGAAATAAGATTGCTACTGGTATTATTAACTGTTGATTGACTAATTAGATCTTCATCGAAATAATATGTAATATAATAAACATTATGAGTTAGCCAAAATGTCTTTTTTTCCAATACGAAAGACCCTACAAAGTCTTCTATCAGAGACTATTTCAACTGGATATTTTTATGTTTATTGTATATTTATATAATTACACTCACAAAATTATTATCCAGCTTGTAAATAGATATAAGGTGTAATTCGTTTAAATTTAAATTCTTCGTCTATGAAGATCACTTTTTATAATTTTACATTGAGTAGTGATGGAGTAAACTAAAAGTAAGTCTTACATATTTACTGTTTAATACTAAACTTTCTGAATGATAAATATTAAATAATATATTATTGCTACAAATGCACTGAAACAAATAAAAACATTTTATTTGAATATTAGCATGCCTTCATCAGCAAACTTATTTGACAGGTTAAAAGGAAACAAATCTATTAGTATTAATTTGTTTAATTTGTGCAAAACTTGTTTAATATTAGCTTTGTTTCTAGTGCATTAGAAACAGTT